AGTCACCCAGGCGCCCAAAACCATCACATAATTTAAAACAATGTTTGCTTATGATATATTCCAGTAAGCAAATTTTCAAAGTATAATTACTGTATCTTTTGGAGATTTTTGACTTTTGATATTAAATATTCATATTAATATACCAAAAAGTAAAGATATAGACCATCTTCCCCCCCGCAAGACTCTTTTCTTACTAGGCTTAATCAGATGTTTTTAACCATATTTCCTTATGGTTCCTATCAGAAGAGTTCAAACTAATAAACAAAACAAATGTTTATTGTTGAAGTTTTCAAGTTAACCCCCTTCTAATTTATTGTCCTACACATGTACATTTGTTTTTTAATTGCTTTTCTCTAGGGCCACCTTCAGCTCCTAGGAATGTGGCTTTTAACATCAATGAAACGGCCCTTATTTTGGAATGGAGCCCACCAAGTGACACAGGAGGGAGAAAAGATCTCACATACAGTGTAATCTGTAAGAAATGTGGCTTAGACACCAGCCAGTGTGAAGACTGTGGTGGAGGACTCCGCTTCATCCCAAGACATTCTGGCCTGATCAACAATTCTGTGATAGTACTTGACTTTGTGTCTCACGTGAATTACACCTTTGAAATAGAAGCCATGAATGGAGTTTCTGAGTTGAGTTTTTCTCCCAAGCCATTCACAGCTATTACAGTGACCACGGATCAAGATGGTAAGTTCCACTGCTGTTTTCTCTAAACAAACTCGTAACTCGCTTCAGATGCATAATATCCCTGGTGGACCTATATTCACTGAGGTGCAGGTGTATACTCTATACACTAAAGAGGTGATCTTCTGGTTGTTTTTCTTACTATTTTGTAAGGTCCAGAAAGATATTTTTTATATTACTTCTTATTAGTAAGGTTAATTAGATATAATGCTTCTCTCCAATGTTTATGCATTGCTTTTGATATAATCCTATACAAGTACATCTTAATGAGCAAGTCCATATCACTTACCAACAAACGTCAGATATAAAAAAAATGTTGCTAAGTGAATTGAAATTTAGTTCCTCCACTTATGCTGCCATTTCTTTTCCATATCAAATAAAGCAAATAGTAAGAATTCATGTTAATTATAATTCATATCTATGTTGTAAAAACATTGCAGCCAACATGCTTAACTGTGATCCACTCTGAAAAGAAACAGCAAATATATCCAGAAATGTATCCAAATGTTGTTGTTAGGCACCATTTGTAAAAAGTTGTTGAACAGTCTTTTTAAAAAATCCAGTTGCTTTCAGTTAAATGTTCCCTTCATAACAGTATAGATTTTTACTGCAACATAGTTAGGCACGAATACCCCTGTGATTTTTATAAGTATATATTCTCTTTAACTCCCTCATAACACAATTTACTGCAGTACATGATACAGAAAAATCATCAGAGATTTTAAAAACTCCCATTGAGAAGCATTCATAAATTATGTGGACACACAAATGATTGTCTTATAGCAGAAAGTATTATTGTATATGAGCACATATATATATGAGACAAATTTATAAAGATTAAACTATTCTTATGCTGTAACAAATGCCACAGATTATGTGGTTTAAACAACAGAAGTTTATTTTCTCACAGTTCTAGAGGCTAGAATCCAAGAATAAGGTATCAGTGAGGTTGATTTCATTACTCAGCAATAAAAAGGAACAAATTATTGATACACACAACTTGGATGAACTTTAAGGGCTCTGTGCTGAGTGAAAAGGACAATTTCAAAGGGATGCATACTGTGTGATTCACTTATATAACGGTCTTGAAATGACATAATTATAGACATGAAGAATAGATAGGTGGTGGCCAGAGCTGGGGAATGGGAGAGCTGGCCATGAAGGGCAGGAGAGAGCATTGTGATAATACAGTTATATATTTTGATTGTTGTGGTAGTTACATGAAGCTACGTATGTGATAACTTGCATAGAGCTACACACACACACACATACACACATATACACACAAGCCCAGTGGATTTTACTAATGTCGATTTTCTGGTTTTGATTTTGTACCATAGTTATGCACATAGTTAACACTGGGAAGGCTGAGTAAATGATGTATGGGATCTCACTATACGTATTTTGTGAATCTATAATAATTGTACAATTTTAAAAAAGTTGCTAAAACTGTAAAATGTGTAGATAGAAACTTTAGTATTTTATTAAGAACATTTTAAATGAATGTGACTTATTTAAATTAATACACATAAATTCACTTTGCTGATAATCTTCAGAAATACATCTGATAAAGCCAAGTAGTACTGTACAAAGATCTTGTATTTACCATGCAATTTTACCCTTCATTTAGCAAATAACTACACATCATAGAATTTGCTTAATGGCTTTTAAAAAGGAATTCCTATTTCCTCTTTTTTTCCTTCTTTCCCATAGTGTCAACAAAATCTGATCAAATATATCTTCAGAATAAAAGAGATTAGCATCTTCTGTTCCTCTCTACATTAGCAGATTATATCTAAGGCCTTTTGGCTGCCATTGGGTAAAAAATACAACTCAGAACAACCATTCTTAACTATGGGGGATAAAAACAGTATATCACTTTAAATAAAATATATATGTACCTATCTTTACATAATTTCATACATATTGCATTGGACAGCCTTTCATTCTAGGATTAAAAGAAAGTTCATTTAGTCTACTTTTCCACTTAGCAGAGAAGAGAATATAAATTGTTTCTCACTTTTAAAATGAGAGAATTCATTAAAACTGTATTGCTTTGAAGACAGGTTGGTTAGGCACAAAATAAAATATAGGATCCATATATTGAGACTATACATTCTGGAAGGATAATATTATTAAGCAGTCCTCCCCAGTAAATTTCACTTTGTTGAAGTATATTAAGAAATAATTATTGTTAATTTAACTGTGTTTTAGATAAAAATAGTAAGAAAAATCTAAATATATTTAAATTTTATTTGAAAAGTACATAATGGACCTAACTGAGCTAAAATATTGCCACAAAAATTAATAAAATATTATGACCAGCAGAAACTAAACAAGGATGTCCACTCTTACCACTTTTATTCAACATATTTCTGGAAAATCTAGCCACAGCAATCAGACAACAAAAAGAAATAAAAGGCATCCAAATCGGTAAGGAAGAAGTAAAACTATTTGCAATTGACATGATACTCTACATAGAAAACCTTAAAGATTCCACCAAAAATCTACTAGAACTGATAAACAAATTCAGTAAAGTTGTAGGATACAGTCAATATACAGAAATCTGTTGCATTTCTATACACCAATAATGAAGCAGCAGAAAGAGAAATCAAGGAATCAAGCCCATTTACAGTTACACCAAAACCATAAGATAACTAGGAATAAACCTAACCAAAGAGATGAAAGACCTGTACTCTGAAAACTATAAAACACTGATGAAAGAAATTGAAGACAACACAAGGAAATGGAAAGACATTCCATGCTCATGGATTGGAAGAACAAATATTATTAAAATGTCTATACTACCCAAAGCAATCTGCACATTTAATGTAATCCCTATCAAAAACCACCAGCATTTTTCACAGAACTATAATAAACAATCCTAAAATTTGTATGGAACCACAAAAGACCCCAAATAGCAAAAGCAATCTTGAAAAAGAAAAGCAAAGCTGGAGGCATCACAATTCTGGGCTTCCAAGTTATATTACAAAGCTGTAGTGATCAAGATAGTATGGTATTGGCACAAAAATAGACACATAGATCAATAGAACAGAATAGAAAACCCAGAAATGAACCCACAACTATATGGTCAATTGATCTTCAACAAACAAGAAAGAATATCCAGTGGGAAAAAGACAATCTCTTCAACAAATGATGTTGGGAAAACTGGAGAGCAACATGCAAAAGAAGGAAACTGGACCACTTTCTTACACCATACACAAAAATAAACTCAATGAATTAAAGACCTAAATGTGAGACCTGAAACCATAAAAATTCTATAAGAGAACATAGGCAGTAACCTCTTTCACATCAGCCATAGGAAGTTTTTTCTAGATATGTCTCCTGAGGCAAGGGAAACAAAAAAATAAACTTCTGCCCAGCAAAGGAAATAATCAACAAATCTAAAAGGCGTCGTAAGGAATGGGAGAAGACATTTGCAAATGATATATACAATAAAGGGTGAGGATCCAAAATATATAAAGAATTTATAAAACTCTTAACACCTCTAAAACAAAAATCTAGTTAAAATGGGCAGAAAACATGAACAGCCATTTCTCCAAAGATATCCAGATGGCCAACAGATACATGAAAAGATGCTCATCATCACTTACCATCAGGGAAATGCAAATCAAAACTATGATGAGATATCACCTCACACCTGTCAGAATGGCTAAAATCAACAACACAAAAACCAACGAGTATTGGTGAGGATGTGGAGAAAAAAGAACCCTCTTGCACTGTTGGTGGGAATGCAAACTGGTGCAGCTGCTCTGGAAAACAGTATGGAGGTTCCTTAAAAAGTTAAAAATAGAGCTACCCTACAATCCAGCAATGGCACTACTTGGGTATTTACCCAAAGAATACAAAACACTGATTCAAAGGGATACATGCATCCCTGTGATTATAACAGCATTATTTAATTGCCAAATTATGGAAGCAGCCCAAGTGTCCATATATGATAAATGGATAAAGACAGTGTGGTATACATACAAGGAAATATGATTCAGCCATAAAGAAGAATGAAACTGTGCCATTTGCAATGACATGGATGGAGCTAAACAATATAATGCTAAGCAAAATGAGTCATCAGAAAAAGACAAATGTCATATGATTTCACTCATATGTGGAATTAAAAATAAAAAACAAATGAGCAAAGGGGAAAAAAGAGAGAGAGTGTGAAACAAACCAAGAAACAGACTCTTAACTATAGAGAACAAACTGATGATTATCACAGGGGAGGGATATGGGGGGATGGGTTAAATAGGTGATGTTGGTTAAGGAGTGCACTTTTTGTGGTGAGCACGAGGTGATATATGGAATTGTTGAATCAGTACATTGTACACTTGAAACTAATATAACATTGTATGTTAACTAACTAGAATTCAAGTAAAAACTTAAAAAAAAAACAACAAAAATAGTTCTATATACAGGATGGCAGTGAGCCACTGAATATTAAAATACATTTACCTGGCCCTAACAAAAAAAAGTATTATGATCAGCCTTGTAAGTATGAGTGACTATCCCCATGTCACAATTTTGAGAAACACAAAGAAGACCTTGTCTCACTATGCTAAAATTCTGACATTAGAATATCATGTCTTTAAAAATGCATATACTGGGGTGCCTGAGTGACTCAGTCAGTTAAGCGTCTGCCTTCGGCTCAGGTCATGATCCCAGGGTCCTGGGATCGAGCCCCACGTCAGGCTCCCTGCTCAGCGGGAAGCCTGCTTCTCCCTCTCCCACTCCCCCTGCTTGTGTTCCCTCTCTCGCTGTGTCTCTCTCTGATAAATAAATAAAAACTTTTAAAAGAATAAATAAAAATGCATATACTGTAAGCAAGGGTAACAGTATAAAATAGCTCAATCTGTGCATGTATCACTTATGCTTTTAATATCATATCCTAGTGTTTGATAAAAAAAGGAGCTTATAGTAACTGGAGTCTCCCAGAGCCAGGCTTCAGCTGTTAGAATGTGTGCCAGCCTTAATAAGATAATAGTTTT